TTATCTTCAAGGAACAATTGACTTGGGATTGTTTTACCCTAGAAACTCCAAACTTGGTTTAGTTGGTTTTGCAGATGCAGGTTATTTATCAGATCCTCATAAAGCTCGATCGCAAACCGGATATGTTTTCACGTTTGGAGGAACCGCAATCTCTTGGCGTTCTCAAAAGCAGACATTAGTCGCCACTTCTTCAAATTATGCAGAAATTATTGCGCTTCATGAAGCATGTAGAGAATGCGTTTGGCTCAGATCTATGACTCATCATATACAAGAAACAAGCGGAATAATCATCAACAAAGAGCCGACAAAATTGTTCGAAGATAATGCTGCATGTGTCGCTCAACTAAAAGAATGCTACATCAAGAGTGACAGAACAAAACATATTCCTCCAAGATTTTTCTTTTACACCCAAGAGCTCGAGAAAAATCAAGAAGTCGATATCCAGTATGTTCGTTCAAGTGACAATGCGGCGGACCTCATTACAAAGGCGCTTCCTACTACAGTATTCAGAAAGCATATTCAATGTATCGGAATGCGTCATTTGCGAGATTTATAAAGAAACGTTATATCTATCATTCCAGGGGGAGATTACGTTACTGTACTATTTTTCCCTTGTCATGGTTTTTATCCCATTGAGTTTTTCCATGATAAGGTTTTTAGCAAGGCAATACGTAATATATTAGCGGTAATGGATAATTAAGGGAGAGTGTTATAAAAATTAAGTGGAGATCATTATCCACTTTCACCACCATAAACCGACTTGGTAAGTCGGTAACTCCTTCTATTATATTCATTAATGTTTGCTATAAATATGTTGTTACCCCCTTGTAAACTTTATAAGTAACACAAGTGAAACATAAGAGCTTCCCTTCTCTTCTCTCTATTCCTTCGTTCTTCTCCTTCTTACCCCACCATCCAAAACTAAATAATATAATATATATAATACATATATACATAGACATATATATATATATCTTCACTTATATCATATATAATATCTAAAAACAGCAAATTTTTAGTAATTTTTTGGTCTAACGGAGCGGAAAAAATAGTATGCTTCTATTAATGTTTATTTCATTCATCGGAAAAAAAAAATATTTGTGTGTGATTGTAGCAAGGGGTTTTGATTGTAACTAATATTTTAAATATCGGATGGATTAGAATCTGAATTCAATAGAATACTAGTGGATTCTTTGCGTTAGGAGCGGTATTTTAACCTAAGCTGTATGAAATCAGAAGCGGAATCGCGGAAGCGGAAACATTTAGAAGCGGGGAAACAAATTTTTCAAAAAATTTAGAAAGTGGATACGTGTTGGAAGCGTTTATATGAATATATATCAAACATCTAACATAAAATAAATAAAAAATATTTTAAACTTAAACAATAAAGATCCAATACATAATAGAAATATAATAATTCAATTGACGATAAAACTAAAATTTATAATCACACATTAATATAGCCCCAAATCCTTGATTTGGCCAGGAAAGACTGCACTGCTTTGGGCCCAGGATGTCAGCTCACATCAAACATGACCGCTTCCAATTCTGATTCATCAAGAGAAAGATCCTCAAACTCAAACTTCCTAGATTAATCTCATCCAATGAATCAAATTGATCACCTCCAAAATCCCACATATGATTGGGACCTTCTTTATAAGCAGAACTCCTTCTAGATAGAATACGAAGGTTAGTGTGTACAAATACCAAATCTTCAGCTCTTTGTGGCATAATCTTGTTTCTTGTTGCAGAATGTATAAACTTGTAAGTATTCTAATTCTTTTCACAACATGAAGACGAAGACGGTTGTCCAAGCAGCTTAAAAGCTAATGCTTGAAGCTTCGGTGCTGAAGATCCATGAACTACCCACCATCTCAAAGGTTATAGGATAGACCTATCATAAATCGCATCAACACTGCCAAAATCCTCCAAGCACGAAGAAAAATTAGAATATTCAACATTAACCTCTCTTCTTTCATCTTGATTTGGAAAATACTTCATGATGCAATTCTTTCTTTCTCTAGTAATTTCCAAATCTTGATGTGGAGCTTTTTTAGTGCTCTTCCCCAATCCACTCTGAACTATAATATCTGCATCCAAAATAATGAAAAAATATTACTATCTAAAACCAATATAACGAGCACCAGCCATTTTGTAAACTGATAAATCATGTAAATTAAAATAGATTTAGAAACTTACTTGGGGTTTAGAGAATGTGCCATACAATGAAGAGGAGTGTTACTCTTGCTCCAACGAGATGTCAAAATAGAATGCACAGCATTCCAAAATACTGAATCATCATCAAGTTGTGTTCTTTCTTTTTTGAAAATAGCCATCTTCACGAATCATACTTTCCCACCATTCATAGGCTAGATGAAGAGAAGGCTTATCAGTATCAGCAGCTCTAATCACACTATAGATGGGCAAAATGAAAGATAAATATTCAAGATCGTCCCAAAACATCTCGTCTAATCTTTTTTTCACTGCAGATGCCCTCTCTACCCCATCTTCTTTATAGTCATTCCATTTAGGACTGATCACCATTTGTTGCAACCCTGTTTTTATTTTTTTTTGAATCTTTTCAACATCACAACTGTGGAGGCAAACCTGTTACCATAAAATTTAGGGAAGATTACTACACTAACCTTAAAAAGTATCTATATTACTTGTTTGGCACACTTTTATTTTTTTTACAAAACTAACCTAGCATACCCAAAACATCATTTTCGCCTTTGTTGAAAAAAAATCTAATTACAAAAATGACATTACTTTTTTAATGCCACGTATGCAGAAAATAACGCTGAAAATTTGATAAGTCTACCAGGCTTTGACGGTAGACTTATCAAATTTTGGTCAACGCAAAAATTTTGTCGGTAGAGTTCTTAGGACGATGGTAGATTTATTCGAGAATTGGTAGATTTTACAAATGTTGGTAGACTTATCTTGGTAGACTTTTGACGATGAGAGGTAGATTTATTATATTTCGGTAGATTTGTTGTTATGAATGGCAGACTTGTCAAAAATTTTGGTAGACTTGTTAAAAAAAGCGTTGACTTTCTCGCATTGTTGACTTTTTCGGTAGATTTATTGACAATGAAGTAGATTTATTTTCTGAGTTGGTAGACTTATGTCCTTTAGCGGTAGATTTATGTGAAAAAGTTGCCAATACGTGCGGTAGATATATCTGTTTTATGGTAGAGTTATATATAGTTGGAAGAGTTTTCGCTTTTGTGGTAGATATGTTTGGCTTGTGGTAGATTTAATTCAGTTAAAATTCATTCCGGTGAGTGGTAGATTATATGTTACATGAGGTAGACTTAAAAAATGTTGGTAGATTTATTTGTTTTGTGGTAGATATGTTTGTTTTGTGGTAGATTTAAATTTAAAATAAATTTCCTTCCGGTTTGTGGTAGATTAATAATTACATGAAGTAGACTTACAAAATGTTGGTAGATTTGTTTGTTTGTTTGGTAGAGTTTATGTAATCTGGTAGAGTTATCGTACGTATGGTAGACTTCTTAAAATAATAATGTGGTAGATTAATTAAGTTTGGTATTTACAAAGATAACCTTGATCTGGTAGACATATGACATGCTTATGGTAGACTTGTTTATATGGTAGAGTTATTTTTCATGCTTGAGGTAGACTTAGTTATTAATGTTTGGCAGACATTTGACTTTATGGATTGAAATTACTTTTTTGTCCTAAAAGAGTTATCGTATCTACGAAAAAACCTACCGTTTGGTAGACTTATGGTTGCAGTGTTGTACGTCTTTCTATTTTCGTCCCTGTGGTAGACTTTTGGTAACGGTTATGTGAAACCATTACCAAAGAACCGTTGCATCGATTTAAAAAACTGTAAGTTCTCTATAAATACCACAACCGAGAAGATTCATTTCCCATCCCGATTTTCCTATGGCGAATCTCAACTCGCTCCCTTCTGATATTTTGTACGAGATATTGTTAAAAATATCTTCAAACTCGTATGCGGATCTTTGTCTTGCAAAAGTTTCGTCAAAAACACTTAACAACATCTCTAACTAAGCGGGTTTTCTTAGGAAAGTTGATTTAATCAACTTTATCGCGCCGTGGAAGTGGGATCAACATGGAAGGGTGGGTGCATTCTTCACACGGTGCTTGGAGGCAGGAAATCCATCCGCACAATTGCGAAGAGGTTTATCGCTGATTTTTTTCGAAAATAGCCTCCAAGCAGGGTTGGATTTCATTAAAATGGCATCAAACAATGGATTTCTCATGGGTAAGTACTGCCACACTATGTTACATCTAACCATCGATGGCACATCAGAGGTATTCAACTCTGTTAAAGCTCTCTCCCGGGAAGATGCAACGAAAATGAGATTGACTATGGAAAAGATCTTCATGCCTCCGTTCAATTTCCAGAAGCCCGAGGAACTGGTGGAAATGGTTTTCCAGGCTTATAAAAAATCTTTAAGTACAAGGATTTGTGGTTGTCTCAAAGTACCAGACATGCGTTGGATGGGAGATGAATACCTGCTCGATACGTATGGGGATCAACTTTGCGAATCCTGCTTCTGGAAATTGGAGTGTGCCACTTTCTGGTGGATAGTACCGTCATTTTGTATGGAATGGCCTCGTTGATTGCATCAATAGTTGTACTTTCATGTTTGATGAAAGACTTATGTTTACTTAAGTAGATTTGTTTTCATTGTGAAGTAGACTTATATGAAAGTTATTACTATTTATGTTGTGTTAAGTAGATTTATGTGTCTACCATTCGTTCGATTGTAATTGAAATAAGGGAACATGACAAGTCTTTTATACTCGAAAGCTATTAATTATAACAAATCTACCAACAATATAATAGAAGTCTACCATTCGACCTAATGGAACATTACGTTGTACTCCAAGATTCCTTAGTACTAAACATAAGGAAACTGACTTGTACTTAACATATACGCAATGGCTGCAAACACGAACAGCAACGCCAGCATCAAGTAGTGGTCACCTCTGGCGTTTTGCTATGTCATCCAAACAAAGTCTCCTTGAAGCCGGAGTATCTCATCTTTCATTTCACGAATGTCTCCGACCAAGTCATTGCATTCCATAGACCTCTCCAATGACTGGAAAAGATTCTCCAAACGCATGAAACGAGGATCAAAAGCTTGATCCCTGCCAAGCACTTGCAATTTCTCCTTATGGTTCCCAAGGTCAATCTTCAACCGTTCCAATTCCTCTGTAACAGCCTCATCCCACCATTTCCAGATATGTTCTCGACTCCCCTACATACATCAGGCCAATCTCATACATTAAGTATCACAACAGTTAACTAAAGATTAACAAATGGATATTTTAAGAAAACTTAAGACAAATATTCAAGCTACTTACCTCCTTCAACCAGAATGGACAAGTGTAGTACCTACGGCCAGGTGTTGCTGGCGTATCACCAGTCATTGATTTAAGGATCATATCCCGACCACAAAAACACTTCTCTGGAATCCCAAAATCTCCAAAACCCCACCACTGTAACATGTCCATTTCCGGCTCTTCAGAAGAACTGTCGCTATAGCTCGGCATTGTCTGCGTCGATAAGAAAAGTATTAAACAACACAAATCAAAATAAACAAAAGTCTACTATAAATATTAAAAGTCTACCATCATTATCGAAAGTCTACCAGAAAAACCAGAAAAGTCTACTATAAATGAAAATACCAAAACTCTACTACATATCAAAAAAAGTCTACCATTCACACAAAAACTAGGGTTTCTGGGTTTAGGCCTACAACCGCCGATAGCCGAGAAACAACCTTTCAACGACGAAATAGATGCATTTTATCACGTTTACTAAAGCAGGACGACGTTTTCATTGAACATTAACCCCAGCAATGATAGAAAACTCCAATAATCTATAACAAAAGTCGTGTAATGCTATGAACACTAAATGTTTACCGCGGTTATGAATGTTCATACCAAATAATCTGTGAGTACTCCTTCGCCGTTGGTGGAATTGCCGAAGCGCAGACGTCGCTATTACCGTTTAAACTCGCCTATGTCGCAAGACCAGCAGATTTATATCTCAACTTGCTCTTAAGTTTATGTTTTCTGCTGGGTTTTCACCTGCTTAAATATACTGTACTTTAGTTGGTAGATCTATAAATATTACAAGTACATATGTTTTATTAATGGTAGACTTAGTCACTTATATGGTAGACTTAGGGACTTATATGGTAGACTTAGGGACTTATATGGTAGATTAGTTTGTCAAATGTTAGATTCAATGTCAATGTGGTAGACTTAGTTATCGGGCAGTGCAATTTTACATTTTTGCCCTGTACGTATTGTCTAAAGTACGGAACAAAACCAGAGTCCATCTTCAACCTCTAGGTTTCGTCGTCGAGCTGTTAAACTTGGGATAACTCTTGCATGTTGATTTTTCCTGCATCTCCATCATCCACGACTGCTTCGCATGTATAGTAATTTCACATCAGTCAAACCAAATATTAACATAACTAAATCTACCTAAAAATCTACCGAATTAATTATAAATCTACCTAATATAAATATCACTGCCAAACTATGTAAAAATCTACCACATAAGTTAATCTTGTATTCCAAAAAAACATTAAAAGTCTACTGTGCAGAAAAAGTTAAAAAAAAAACCATCAATACAAGTCTACCAAAGTAAAAAAGTATTTCGTACAAATCTACCATAAAGGAAAACGATCTGTTTTAACATAGTTGAATGTTGCCTCCAGTAACTTTTGCTAAGTTACTGATATTAGAAGAGAGACTTGCGTACCGGATCCTTTTCCAGAGCTCCCGTTCCGTTCCCGTTCCTGCTCTACCTCCCGTTGACGTTCCTGCTACTGGCGCTGCTGCTGGAGGAGATGCTTTTGCTTTAGGGGTTTTAGGTGAGGTTTTGGATTCTGCATCTCCGGCATTCTTATCATTGTCAACATGGTCGTTGTCAACCTGGTTCCCAGAATTCTCCATAGCCTCATCTTTCTCTTCATGTTTATCCTCAATAACGGCAATCCTCTTATCCAGGTGGTCTATACGAATTACAGCACTGCTGACATTGCTGTTTAGCAATGCAACCGTCGTTGATAAACCATTAATTGCCATGAGGATCTCATTCGTCCTATCCTCCTTCTCCACAGCCGGCTCTTTTTCCTTGCTCTTGTTCTCTCTTTGCTTCTCTCTCTCCTTCTCCTTTCTTTCCTTCTCTCTCTCCTTCTCCTTTCTTTCTTTTCTCTCCCTTTTCTCCTTTCTCGTTTCTTCAATTGCATCCTTCAGTAGCTTCACCGGCGAGTTAAAATCATCATCTTCTTCCTCATCCTCCTTCTTACGTTTTTTTTTCTCCTTTTTTTCGTGCTTCGTCTCTTCTTTCCTTGCCTCTTTTTCCCTTCTCCTTTTGCTTCTCGGAGTTGAAGCCGTTGCTTCAGCCTCTTTCACCTTCTCTTTATTTTTCTTCTCCATGCGTGAAGTTTCCAACTTCCTCTTCGACTGTTTCGGCGTCTGACCTGTTGCATCGCCACCTATGTTTTTGGGAGATTCCCAGAACCCCTCATCCAAGCTTCCATCCAGAATATCACATATCATGTTATGCACCTTTATATCGACGTCTACACGTCGGGGTTCTTCTTCCCAGACAGGATATATTTCCTCCAAGGGCTTCACCACCATTAGATGTCTAACCCGAACCTGCCATGCCATAGAAAATGATATTAATAAATCTACCATGATATTAATAAATCTACCAAACTGAAAAAAACTCTACCAAAATGTAAAAACTCTACCAAAATGTAAAAACTCTACCAAAATGTAAAAACTCTACCAAAATGTAAAAACTCTACCAAAATGTAAAAACTCTAACACATTTAATAACTCTACCACAAATTGTTGTATAATAAATAACTCTACCAAACACTAAGCTATTATCAAAAAACTCTACCAACTAAATAGCTGCTAAGGTACAAGTACCTTGTGGTCCTCGGTTTCACTCTTATCCATCTCCAAAAGAGTCTAGAAAGCATAACGACACTGTGATGAAGTCCTCCTAAGAAGAGGAACAACCGAGTCATCTACATCGGGGCGTATTTTCCCTGCTCTCTCAGCCAATATAGGGATGCACTCATAACCCCAAACAAGCATTGCCTGTACACATCCGTGGAGAGTGTATCGTGCTCCCCCCAAATTAGCAATCTTGATGGAATAAATTAGTTCATGGAATCCATAACGACCCCACGGCTGTCTCTCAAAAGCTGCTTCATCCATAACTGTTTTGGCTAAACCCAACGAGATTCGACTGTTGCGGTGAAGTCCCAATACGCCAACATGCAAAATGAAAAGCAACACCAACATCTTCTTCTTCTGATAAGTCCATGCTTGGCAAGTTTTCATCCGAGCTTCTAACTCATTCCAATTAGGGCCTTCCCCACCTCTCACTCCAATCTCAGCCCAAAATTCGGTGTGATCTATTTCCAACTTGTCATTGGGATCAATTGGGTCACAGTTTAGCCCTGTGATTTCAGCATACTCGAAGAGTGTAAATCTAACCGGGCGACCTCCAATAAGAGTCCAGAACTCATGATTCCTATCCACCTTCAGTTGGTTGCTCACGAAATACTGAACCGTCTTAGCACTCCATATGAACGAAGTCAATGCAAGCTTCAGTAGCACGCCAACTTGAGAATTATTCATGATGTCGTTGCAAATTTCTTCCCCAAGGTGATCCCTGATCATCATGATGAACTCATGAAGCTTGCAGTTATGATGACAACTCTTCTTCAGCAAAGGAGATTTGCCTTCCGGGTACAATCTTTGGGGATAATCCTTTGAGCCGCTAGCTGAAGCCATGTCTGCAAACAAATAAAAACATTAAAATCTTACAAATCTACCACACATCAAAACAAATCTACCATGAACAAACACATGTCTACCAAACTGACAGCAACTATAGAATACCTAGCACAAAACATTTACAAATCTACCAAAACGAACACAAATCTACCACAAATGAAAGAAAATATTGAACACAAATCTACCAAATAAATACATAAATCTACCACACACAAAGAGAGAACGCAAATACAGAATACATAAGTCTACCAAACACAATTTTTAACCCAACCATTACAAACACAAATTACTCACCACATATGAAAACAAATCTACCATGAACATGTCTACCAAACTCGAAAGCAACTATAATATAAAATCTACCAAACCCGGGAGCAACTATAACATATAACTCTACCAAATACGACCACAAGTCTACCACACATGGTATAAATCAACCAACAATACATAAATCTACCAATACAATCTCAACAATAACTCTACCAACAATACTTTGATTATTCAAACAAGACAATGAAACGAAAACAAATCTACCTCACATAGAAAACAACTCCGTTAAACACGAACAAATCTACCGTTTAGCATATACAAATCGACCAAATGCAACAACTACTGAAAATTCTACCAAAAACAAATTAGAACCGAACCACTACGAACATAAATTACTCGCCGGAAATCGTGTAGGGTCTCTGGAAATCGTTCTCGAAAGACGGAAACCGCCGATAATAATACTTCCCTGAAAAAAAAATAAGAAAAGGGTTACGATTTCTGAGTAAAATCATGTGAACAGATGGATTTCTCTTCCGCCGTTTCCGCCGTTAGTGCGAAACCACCGTTGAAACCCAAACACAACCGTCGCGACTAAAGGCGAAAACAGTTTTCGACATAACCCCGAAAACCCAAGACAAAAACTTGTTCGAGACGAGAATGAACCCAGATGTGAAACACTTACCAGATGAGTGGCCGAAAAAACTTTCGTCGCCGCCGAAATCGCCTTCTTCGTCTCCCAAAACCCTGAATCGCCTCTCTAGTCGCCGAATCGCCTCTATCGTCGCCGCCGGAATTAGGGTTTAGAGTTTTTTTGTGTTGTAATTTCTATTTTTAGAATTAGGGAAATGTATGTGTATATACGTGTATATATATATATATATGATTTAATATGAAAATGTTATTATGTATATAATTTGAAGTTTTTTTTAAAATAGAATGGCAATCTGGTAATAATATTGATTATTTGGACAAAATGATATAACACCAACTTTCTAAGGTTAGTCTAGTAAACTGATGAATATGTTAGGCTAAGTTTGTCAATACATTAACCTTAAAGGTTAGTCTGAGGAATTTTCACTAAAATTTAATGATCGTATTTCAGCCAAAGTAAAACTAAAAGTTAAAAATATATATAAAAAACATGTGTGCATCATTTCCATTGTTTCAAGTCTTCTGGATCAAAAAAGACCACGTACGTGTAATTAAGTCCAAGTGTCGAAAATATGAGTGTTAACTTGTCTAGCTATAATAATTTGGCAGCACTCATCAAGTCACTATAGTATCATCATAATAGTTTTTTAAGAAGTCTGGTACTTTAACGATTTGAATAGTATGTATAATATAGAAATAAATGTGGCCGTAAAAGATTTCACGTACTTTTACCCAAAAAAAAACGAATAATAACTTAACAAAGAGAATACAAACCTTGTAGAAGCAATTGTAAG